TCATTGTGTGCAATGTAAAATCATACAGCGAAAGGGCTGCACCAACCAAACACGACACTGTGGAGCAGAACACAACCAGGTCTGCAAGGGAGGGAGTTACAGCAATGTTAAGTTCTAAAATAAAGACTACTATTTCTTGTGTAATACACAGCTCGAAAGCAAGAAGGAGAGCAGGCAGGAGACATGTGGACAAATACATCAGCGGGGCTTGGACAACGGTAGGAGATCCACGGCCAGACCACAATGCAGGGCCTGGTTAAGGAGCTGCTTGTGTCATGTAATGTAACGCCCCGCGGGCCTCTGTTGTTAGCAACGAGCAGTTGGAATCACGGCCAGGCAGTTAGGATCCGTTTATAATTCCCCCCCCCAACCCAAACTGCAGCCTGACTAAAACAGCACTGTCAGGCTGACCTCATCCCCAGCCAGAGTTCTGTCTGTCTGTATGGCTCTGCCCGTGCGCGGCACCTCGAGCAGACGGCGCTTGTTCTGCCCACTTTGTTGGCAGCCTTTCCTGGAGCGAGGCTCCCCTGAGAACATTTCAGAACGTGGATGCACTGCGGGGCTCCTTGGGAGCTCCTGAAAGCATCCATCTTTCACACGAGCTCCGTATGCAGCCTTCTGGGTGACTCCCTGAACAGGCTGACATCAGAATGACCGTGGAACCGAATTAATGAAACACTTCTAAACTCAACTGGCGCCGTCCTAATCTGCTTAAACGGGGCTTTCTCTGATGTAATTAGAAGCAAACAAGTCCCACAGAGAGAGAGGTCACTGCATTGATCAATTTTCACAGCTACAAGTTGGGAGAGCAGGACGTGGTCACATCCCAGCCGTGTACTTCACCCCTGGTTAACAAGAGTAGGAGAAAAAATGGATTTATTCTATCACTCAGTGATAGCTGTCACCAAAGCTGCTGGGAGACAGAACTCCTTCCTAGGCTTCTTCTTTTCTGTTCTCCAGAATCACTCCACGAGCTCCTTTCAAAAGGGAGGACTGAGCTGAATACTAGAGAGAGAAAAATAGAAGAATAAAAAGTTGCATTCCACATTAGACATTGGGCACCGCTCAGTAGAAGTTGCAGATAATGGGTTTATAATTTTGCCAGTTTTTGACAGGATACATTACTGTTCTGTTTAGTTTTGCTTCAGGCTGACTGAGCTGCTACCAAACAAGAATCAGATTTGGGCAGGCAGTCAGACGCTATGCAGGTCTCCCAAAAGCATGGAGGAATGTGTATTTCGAGTAAACAAAAGCAAAACCAAAACCTGCTGTCTTCTGATGTGGCCTTGGTTCAGCTCCAGGTGTTTTTGGGGCTGCTTGCTTTTGGTGCTCACAAGAGCCGTGCTGCCTGGCTGCAGGGAGTGAGAGCTCCTGACCAGCTGTCAGAAAAACCTTCTGCTTGGCACTGCCTTTGTCAGTCCCCCTGAAGTAAGGCTACGGTTTTCAAAATGTGGAAGGTTGTATCTGGCACAGCTCCTGTTTAACAGCAAAATACAGCATAGCCTTCCCTGCTTAACAGCTGCAAGAGCACTGACCGTGCTGTCTGTGTTCTCCCAGCTGCTGAGCCTTCCCCTTGATTTCCACTTTGCATTACTGTGTTCAAAATTACCCCACAGAAGGCTGCATCTCCTTTTCATTTGCACAAAATTTGGATGTCATTTTGTAGCACAAAGTTTCTGATGGTACTGACTGACCTCTGTACCAGTACAGGTCTTGGCTTAGCAAGACTTAGGGTGAGTTCTCTAAACCATGTTTCCTACGTGTGCTTTTTCTTATACAAGAGAACAGGAATGTCAGGAAAGAAAACAACAGAATTCTTTCTCTGATATTTACACAGCCGTGCGTGGACCCACTGAGCGGCACGCAGGGTCGTGGCTGTGGCAGGCAGCCCTGCAGTGAGCCTTGCTGCAGGCACCATCTCAGCATCCTTTCTCCTCTGTCCTTTCCCTTGCAGTGTCTGACAGTCAGATCACAGGTTCCTGGCACACTAACAGAGATGCTAAGAAAGGACCCATCAGCAGAAGCTCCAGAATTTTTTTTTTGTTTTGGCCTGGGAGCAGTTGAAGGATGGCACAAGAGGTTAGCCCAGCTGATAGCCAAGCAGCAGCAAATGGGTTACAGAGCAGAACTGAAGAAACCTGACCACCTGTGCCTCTGACCATCTTGTGGGAATGTCAGGCCATTTCAGGCATACGCTGAGTGTTGTCTAGGCAGTACATGAGGAAAGAGTCAGGACATGTTGGAAAAATAAATCAACTGGGATGAGGAATAAAAATCTGAAACTGAAGTTTTTTATGGCTCATCTATTCTTATGAGTTGGGCATCCCTGCAGCACAGCAACCCATCTTTCCTCTGGGAAATGTGCTTATAGGTAGACCGGATCCAACTCAGAAAAAAATGATTTAGTTTGCAAGCATTACATGATGAAACATCTGTATGTAGAACCTGAATTTATACTGATATGGATGTCGTAGTATGTTAGCTACCAGTGATGTGAAGTGGGTATCTTCAGTTAACTACAGCTGCTCCAGATACTATCTGTAACATTAGAAATAAATTACAGAGATATTGAAAACCTGTGGCATATGGGGTCTTATTGTAGACCCTTTCTTTTCTTGTCTTTTTAGGACCTTGTCATAGTGGGGAAGTCAGTTCTCACCACTATACAGGCTTATTACTCACCCTTCATAAAACTTTTAGTTATACTTGTCCAGAACTATCAGGTGTAAGAAAATAATTGTGCATGTTGGTGAAACAGCATCTGCTGTATTAGTGACAAATGCGACAAAAGTGGTGCAGCATTACAAGTCAGAAAATAGCATTATCTCTCTAGCAAAGCATAAACAGCATATTTTACCTACTTAAGCCTCTCCTTCCTCGAGATTAGTCTGTTTGAGAAAAGAGGCAAGGTTGACCTTGGAGCCAGATAACAATTCTAGACAGAAACTGCTTTTCTTTTTTCCCCGTCTCAGCTGTTAATAGAGTGGTAAGAAAAGTTGTTCCTTAAAGAATCACAACCTGATCACAAATACACCGGTCATGAGATGCTTGTTGGAGGAGAAGTGGAGAAACAAAATAATAGCCACCAGTTCAATATATCTTGGGCTATATTTATGTAGAAAATGTAATGCTAATATAAAAAAATCTTTATTACCACACACCTTGAGCAAAATGATGTCATGTTTAAAAGATGGTTCAGTAATGTGATATGTCTTCAGAAGTGCCTGATGCCCCATCCCTGGAGGTGTTTAAGGCCAGGCTAGGTGGGACCTTGGGCAATCTGATCTAGTACTTGATCTAGTGCCTGGTAACCCTGTCTGCAGCAGGGGGGTTGGAACTTGATGATCCTTGAGGTCCCTTCCAACCCAGGCTGTTCTGCAATTCATTTTATGAAATACTCTTTTTTTCAGTTCAGTAAAATACATTATGTATGTACATTGCTTGTCTGCCACATAAGGACGAGATGCAGCACTCAGCATTAAATCTACTCACCGTAGCCATTCCGTTCTATCACATTTTTGCAGAGAAGTTATTTTCTATTGATGACCAGACTAGGAATTCAGTAAGGATCTGAGTAAGTTGTGTGCTGTGTTGAAGCAATCAGATAGCTAACTTTGCTGATGGCAGGACAAGGCACTTAAAACAAGGTCTGTTTGCATTGATGCTAATAGGGACGAGCACGTGGAGCAGACCTGCTGCAGCTTCTCAGCCGTCCCTCACTAGGCGTTGAGCTTTACACTCTACATGGACAGCAAGCTTGCTCTCTCTCATCACACAAACACTTCAGTGCAATAAACCAAGGCTGGAATTTTTCGGAGGTGCTGTTGTTGCTGGAAATCTGTGTTTGGCCAGTGGACAAGTCCAGGCAATTACCCACTGCTTGTCAGAACAAGTTAGTTGTCATGGGAAAGCAGCCTCACGGAGCTGCTCTGCTGCTGCCCATCTTCACACACCATTTGCAGCATTCTTGTTCCTTAACAAACCTTTTCTCTCTTCAAAGATAATTCTGAAGTGTCACTGTGGGCAAATAAACCTGACAATGAGAAAAGGGAGACAGACTGATAACCAATCAGTGCTGACTGAAGCGTGGCCACTAATGAGCATCCACCCCAATGACATGCTCCTGAATAGCCTCATGTTCAAAATTAGAGTGAGAGGGGACAGGAACGTAGCTCACACTGCTCATTTCTCTAGGGAAGTAAAATTTCCCCCTAGTTTCCTAAATATCAGCAAAAAAAAAAGGGGCCAAAGTGAGCACTGCTAATCAAATCATCACCCAAAGGCACGGTTGCGTTTTAGCCAGGCACGACACTGTTATCTCCCTGAACGCACCAGGGCTGCTAGCAGGACCCTCTGCCTTTATTAAGACGGAAAAGGCGGCAGAGCGAAGCCTTCTACAACAGCCTTTCCCTCAGCGCCGCTCCTGCCGCCCCGCGACCCCGGCGCCCCGACAGCCCTGCTCCTGGGGCACCGCCTGAGGGCTGCGCGCGACGCGGCCGTTGCCCCGCGGCCGTTAGGGGGCGCTGGACGGGGGGGGCCGCGCGGCCAAGATGGCGGCGTGGGGCGCGGAGCTTGCTGCGGCCTCGTAAGGCCCGCGTTCCTCCGGGCCGGGCGGCGAAGCGGGCGCGGCTGGCGGTGCGTGGGGCCTCGGTTAGCTAGCCGCGGGAGCCGGGACGCCGTTCGGGCGGCCGCCTCAGGGCGGGACGGAGGGGGGCGGGTAGGGAAGGTCGGAGCGCGGCCTAGGCGAGCGGCGCGGCTTCCGCCCGCAGGCCTCGGAGAGCGGGGCCAGCGGGGGGCGGCCTTCCGCTGCGCCGTGCCGTGAGTCAGCGGCGCTCCACCGCCCTGCGGTGACTCGGCAGCGCCGCGCCGGGTCATGCTCGGACATGTCGGGCCGTGGCGGCCGTAGCCAAGCCCCGACTTGCCTCCTGGCAGCGCTATATAAGGGCGGCCCGGCCCGCATGGCCCGGCTGTCCCGAGCCCGGGGTGCAGCGCTGTGCGGTCGTGACGTATCGTGACGTGACGCTGCGTCTGTTGTCCCCTCGACTGCAGGCAAACGTGCAATACCGAGATGACCTCCCTGACGGACGGCTCTCCTGTCAGCGCCTCGGAACAGGAGGCTCTGGTCAGTGCTCGCGGGTGGCGGTGCGGGGACACGGGCGCATTTCGGTCCCGTCTGTGAGAGCGGGGCAGAGCGGAGCAGAACCGAACCGCCCGCGTGTGGGGGGCCGGGGAGCCGGGCGCTGTTTCCCGGAGCTCTGTGGCGGGCAGGCTGCTTGCTTGGGAGGATTGGGCGAGCTGAATACGAGTTTCCTGGCGAAGCGGTTCAAAGCGGGTAATGAGCTCTGGATGATGGGTGTCGTTCGGGGTGTGGGAAAGCCATCGAGGCGCAACTGAGGGTTTTAAATTTGGCGTTTTCGCTTTCGGTTACGCCAGGCTTTGTAAGGAAGCGTTAGTCCGAGCCCCCAGCAATGCGCGGCGCTGCCCAGGAGGGCTGCAGCGGGGTGATGCCGGCTGTGCGCTCCCCACGTGGGGGGCTTCTCTGCTTATATAGCAGGCTCTTATATGGATCCAGAGGCGTTTACACTCCCGCACGTTTTCTTTCCTCGCCCCATAAGTTAGTGTGAGCTTCCTCTGTGAAGCTGCCGTGTCCTGCGTGCTCCAAGGAGCTGAAGCTTTTAGAATGGGAGTGAGTAGGCACACGGTGTAGTCTGCAGGGTTTTCTATGCATGATTCTTGCAGCTGATCTCTTGCTAACGCACTAATGCTTGGTGTTAATTGTAGCAAATGTTTGAAATGGAATATAGGGAAGCTTCCCTTGTTCCTTGTCTCATGTTGTATTGGGGGAATATTTTAGGATAACTAAAATTAGCCTGGACACAGAATCGTTGTGCTGTTGTTAAAGTGGCAGTGCTGTTAAAGTGGCAGCGCCCAGGGACTTCAGCCGTTTTCATGCAGGCACCATGCTTGCAGTTGTGGCTCCCCTGCAGCTGGTTCTCATCCCCTACATTGTGCTGGCACAGCTGTTTGGAGGACAGCACCATGAATGGGATCAGCCGGAGGGAAAAAGGGGAGGGGGAAGAATCACTTGGGAGCGTTTTCTCCCTTTGCTCCAGGAATTGTTCACAGATTGGCTGTGGAGAGAAATGCTGGCCCAGCCTGTGGGAGGGCATTGTGGGTGTAGGAGTGACTGAAATCCTACAATGGGAAGGACGAGGTCTGTCTGCCTGTCCCTGGTGATGAGATTCAGGGGCAGAGCTGGCTGCCACGGGTGAAACCACAGCCTCATACAGTGTCATGGGAACCTGATCTTTGCTTTGTCTCTTGCACTCTGAACCTGAGAGTCATAGAGGTCTTAAGTTTAACTTTGCAGAGCCAAAGCCTTGGATAGGTTATCGTGTACCGTGTGTCTTTTATGTCAGGTTGATGTAGAAGAGGGAAACCAATCTGTGTTGATCTGTAGAGCTGTTCAGTGAATAATTGCTGCATGCTGTTCTGTTTTCATCTCCACACAGGTTAAACCAAAGCCACTGTTGTTGAAGCTGTTGAAGTTAGCTGGTGCAGAAAAAGACACTTTTACTATGAAGGAGGTGAGAACTTTTAATTAATAAAGGTAGATTGCAGTAAATACAGGGAGATTGTTTTTCTGGTTTGACTGTGGGGAGGCAGTGAGGTTCACAAACAGTGTTGAAACAAGGTATTGGCTTGAATTTTCCTGCTCAGGTGGTAGGCAGTGTTTCCCAAGTTTCTCAACATCTACAAAAACTTCTGGCTGTCCTTAGAATAACAGACTTAGGGAACAATAGGTGAAAATGGCAGCTCTGGTGGAGTTTTGGGTAATCAGAGTAAGGGGAGCAAATCACAGTTTAATGTGTTATCTTGTATTTGATCTTCAAAGAGCAAAACCTCTGTATGTGATAATGTCTGTGGTTTGCTTTACAGGTAATATTCTATCTTGGACAATATATTATGTCTAAACAGTTATACGATGAAAAAGAGCAGCATATTGTGCACTGTGCAAATGATCTTCTTGGGGATTTATTTGGAGTAACGAGCTTTTCAGTAAAAGAACACAGGTAAAGTGGAATTCCTTTCTGAGAATCTGGTTGTGAAATAATGGAGACCGCAATTTGTACGGCCTTGTATTAATTCTTTATAGCTTGACAAATGGTAAGCTCTCCTTCCTAATTTGTCACTTGATGTGGTCTTTTTCTCTGAACTAACCTTTGTGTCTGTAATGAAGAAATCCCAAACGTTCCACACATTCGCAAGTGTTGCAGTAGCCTCAGGCAGACCATCCCAAGGTGAAAGAAAATTCTCTTCTGTAATGTAACAGCTGCAAGGGGATTGCAGAAACATTTAAGACCAGACTGCTGGCCTGATTTATGTGAGAAGCAATGTAGGCTTTGGAAGTCAACAGCAGAGAACAGTAGTATGTAATCACAGTGTGTTCTCTTAGCCACTAATAAAGCCTTGCTATGGTATTTTAACGTTTCTTTTGAGTAAATTGCTTGTCTTGCCAGACTGTGCAGATTAGTCCCATCCAAAAAGCACTGATTGAGAATTCCTCTCGTTAGAAATAAATGTTGATTTGTTAGGGGCTCTTTGTGGAAAGGATTGTGACTTTTCTGCTCTCTGACTGAGCATTTAGAAGCTAATGCTCTTTCGACTGTACTGAGATGGATAAAAGCTCTTCCTTTTCCTTTGAGTGAAACAATGCTGAAAGTGCTTCAGCACTTTACAACAACTGTATTCTACACTTGTCATAGGAATTGCCTTGCTTTTTTGGGCAACCTCCAATTATCACAGTTGGGGGGGAAAACAAAAAAAAAGGAAGAACTTCTCAGCGAAGTGTGGAATGTGTGTATGAATAAGTAAAGCTAAAGTAGCTAACCTGCATCATCTTTCTTTATCCCCATCTAAGGAGAATATATTCCATGATTTCCAGAAATCTGATAGCAATCAATCAACAAGGTAAGCTAGTTTGGGGAAATAGCAGAAGAGAAAATGTAACTCATGTCAGTGCATCTTTTGTCTGGTAATCAGATGGCATCTGCCTCTCCATAATTAGCTGCTGGTCCTTACGCACTGGTGGCTGCAGTGCTCACAGATGAAGGCAAATTAAAGCAAACAGTATTCCTTTGGGGGATTGGGAAGGTTTTATACTAAAATTTGGATAATGTTGTGGGATTTGAACCAGGTGAAGCACAAACAGGACTCGATTAAAAAGCTGCTTGCATTTCTTATGGCTAAAACTTTGTGGTGTTAAAGGTTTAATTCCAGAAATGAGCTTTGTGATCTTGTGCCAACAGTGAAGTCAGAGCAAATGCTTTCTGTTCTGTTAGTGTTCAGTTTTCATTTCCAAAATGGAGTGACGTACATTTAGAAGATAACACTGTCAACACTGAGTCCTCTGGTTTTTTGTTTTAAGGAAAAAACCATACTTAAAACATTGATAACTTTTCTGCAGCATAAAATACGTTAGCTGTAATTTCTGGCTAATATAAGTAGTGTAGCAGAAGTTAAGTAGTGGAAGCTGTTTTGTGAATGGGCTTCTAAATCCATACTACAGCACTCACTGGTTTTAATTTTTCCTAAGGGTGCACTTCCACCTGCTGGGGATGTTGTTTTAAGGGCTGTTGGTATCAGTCCTTATGATAGCAAACTTAAATTTAGACAATTTTTCTTTGAAGACAATTGATTAATTCATAGTCTACCTGGTCATAAGGATCCATAATTAACAACAGTCTGTGTTTCTTCTGTTGAATATCATTTAATTCAGTGTTCGTGTGAGATGATAGCTAGTAAAACATACTTCATAGGAATGTAAAAATATTCTGTACGTATATTCTTTCATCTGCAGAATTGCAGCTAAGGTACATTCATTGAAGGGAATTAATAACCAAATTCAGTGCTGCTTTACTGCTTTGTTTTCAGACTCTACACTGGCTGTTCCACCTGAGGACGATGCCAGATTTCGGCTTGAAAAAGAAACTGTTCTAAAGGTAACCTTTAATATTGTCTTTTATGTTCTGAGATGTAAGTTGTTACATTTCTATATTGTCAATTGTTTGGATGCAGTTAGAGTAATTCTAACCCTCGCCTCATATTCCTGTGTGGGCTTATTCTGTATTTCTGTTAATCAGGAGTCCATGCAAGAGTTAGAAGAGAAGCAGACTTCATCGAATGCAACTTCGCAGCCAACAACATCTTCTAGGAGGAGAACACACAGTGAATCTGGTACGTGCAGATTCGTGATGCAGAGCTTTGAGTGTCATGACAAGGACATCCTGTTGCCTTATTGGCCTTGAGAGATGCTAACAGTGTTTCTCTGTCTGAACCAGAGCGTTCAGTCTGGAAGAGATAGGCAATTCCTTGCACTGCTCCAGTATCACATTACAGTTTGGATTACTAGGAGGTGTTAGCGAGGTAGAAGAATTTGCCTTGTGGATCTACCCAAATTATTCACATCAGCAGGACTTTTGTGCTGTCTTCATAATGAGGGCACTTCTGTTTCTATTAATGCAGTCAGGTGCATTCCAGGTCTCTTTGTAGACAGCTGCAACACTTCACATTCTCTTTGCTCTTAAAGCAGCTCTCATTGGATTTTCATTGGTAATGGATGCAGTTGGATGTATTTAGGTACCTGACCATTCCATAAGCATTTCATGACAGTCTGGCCACATAAGCATTGTATTTGTCTCCAGTTCTTTACTGTAGTTAATTAATAATGATTAGTAAATACATCTGCAGACCATGGAGCGTTTCTTCTGATAATTAGTAAATAAGAAGTTGGTCAGCAAAAACCTGTGTAACTTTAAATTGCTCCATGGAGGTGTTGTGTGCAGTTGAACTTAAGTGCCGCCCTTTGGGATTCCTTACACGACTTTGTTTCATCACTTCCATTACATCATGAGCTGACACTTGAACTAACTGGGCAGTGATAACCTCCTGTCATTGCATAGGTGGTTTTTTTTCTTCAATTGCTTGGGAACGTTTTAAAGTTCCTTAGTTTCTGTGTAGTGTTTTTTTTTTTTTTTTCTTTCTGTGTGTGTGTGTGTCTTCAGCATAGACTTCTGTATTATTGGTCCAAGAACTGTGCTGCTTTGATAAGCGGTTTGCACTAAATTAAAAGAACATTTTAATGTTGCAACAAAATCTGATGGAGGGATGGAAAGTCACAGTTAATCATCATCACCTGTAATATTTAGGCATGACCCAGAGCACGTAAGGTCCTGTGTTGTGCTTACTTATTGTAGGTTTGATTATTAACTCTTGCCTTTGCATCCGTTTATTAGTTTGTTACAACCTTAAAAGTTCTTTTAATATAGTGTTTTTATATACACTTTTTTTCTAATTTATAGGAAATCTTCCTTTTAAACCACTGTTATTGTTAAATTGTGATGGTAGCGGCTCCCTTGGAGCCGCTTTCATAGTGTATAGCAAACTTGTGGTGGTACAGTATCAGTACAGCATGGAGCCATGGCAACTAAATGAGGACAACGATGGAGAGGAGCAACCCTTGGGCCTGGGGGCACCAAATTTGGTGGGGCTCTCAGGGCGGAAAAAGAAAAGGGGCTGAGCCAAGAAGCACCAAGGGAAAGTAAGAGAAGTCTCAAAGTATGTACAAGTGTTTTGTTCTCTTTTCTTTTACAATGAAAGATTCAAGACTTGGACACTTGTGGATTTTTTGGTGTGTTTCGCAGGGCCAGGTTGAAGTTGGACAATAGAGGGGGCGCGCAGAGGGCGTCTGTAGGGGACAGCAGGTTCTTAGTGAGGTCTGCTGAACCAAGTTGTCAGTCCTCTTGGGGAACTTTCACTCCACTGTGCATATATACTGACTTTGTAATGCTTTCTTACACATTTTTTTGTTATCAAACATTCTAAAAGTCAGTGGAGCTGAATTTTGACTTGCCTGCCCCATAAGTGCTGTCTCCCTACTGCTTATGCTGCTGTCGGTTGATGTATCAAAATGTGATGTATGTAAAAAAGCATTGCTTTTTGGCTTTCAGACTAAGCATATTTAATAAGTACAACTTGAAGTATTTTCATGCTTCAGTTTTTATATAGTACGTTAGCCTTGAAGATTTTCTTGTTTGTGTGTTGTCCAACTCATTCGCATAATGATGTATTTGAAGAATTCAGAGTAAATAGAACTACATTTAGTGCTGATACTAACTGTCAAATTGCTTGAGGTGTCTGAAACTTGAACCCAAATTGGCCTAGCATGAGGTCCTCTTCACACATTTGATCTGGGAGCAAGTTACTCATCTCCCTCCAAATTCTGGGGTGGCCTCATAAGCCCCCTGAAAACCTCTTTCTGTCCTCTGCCTGTAGAGGGGGTTAGTGCAATTACAATCCTATCTGTGTTGCTTAAAGTTAATAGTCTTATTATGAGTGTCGTGTGTGAAAAGAGGTAAAAATGCTTCCAGGTGTGCAGTTATTTTGTTTCTTATGTGTGGAGGCTGCCACTTGAAAGCTATACTGGTGGCACAAATAGGGAAAGCCAGCCCCTGAATTGCTGGTTTCAGGAATGTTTCACCTTTCATGGTGTTACTGTGTTGTCTTAAGTTAATTTCTGGTGCCTTTACAGTTCTGGATGATTTTAGTTTTCTCAAATTTCTTCTTATGTAAATTGTATTTTAAGCTGCTGTTTAAAAAAAATAAACAAAACAAACCTGCACACTGCATAGATGTTTTGGAGTAATAAAGATTCTTGAATGTGCCCAGAAGAAAATTCTTCAGATGATCTGCATAGTGACAGAAGAAAACGTCATAAGTCAGACAGCATCTCGTTGACCTTTGATGAAAGTCTCTCATGGTGTGTAGTCAGCGGGCTGTGCCGGGACAGAAGCAACAGCAGTGATTCCACAGACTCTGTTTCCATTCCTGTAAGTCAAAATACGTACTTGATTTTATTTCATTTGGTGGTACAGTTTGTAGTTACTGCAAGTGCAGATAAGCATCACTTTTGTAATTAATTTGTCTGAGTCTGAGGAAAGAGAAGTTAGGAGATGGGTGGATGGAATGGGATCTTTAATAGGTCTGTTGACAAGGCTGGAGTGAGCATTTTTAAAATACCAACATTCATCTGAATATTCATTAAAAACTAGGCAAATTCTTACTACTTGGCACAGTATGGGAGAAATGTCAGATACCTTTTGTTTTAAAATAAGTATTAGAGTGATGAAAGAGGAATTGAAATTGTAATTCTTCATAGCTATAGGCTGCTGGTAATTCCACTACAGCTTTGCTGCTGAAGACCTAAGCTGGTAGTATTCTTAGTCATATGCTGGATTCTGAATTACTGAGCGCAGACTGTATGCTAATGCTTTATTTTGCTGATGAAAAATAGAGAATTTAATGAACGTGCCAAAAGACAGCATGTGTTCTACACTTGTTAGGAGAGCCTTTGTGGAATAATAGTAGCAGTCTCCATGGTGGCCATGGGCTGACTGCTTCCTCTATTCCAGAGGCCACAGAAAGCTTTCAGCTAGCTTTGTTTAGCCAGCTGTAATCTGTTTGTCTCCTAAGTGTTGTTCCATCTAACAGCAGCTGTTCTCATGTCTTCCATAGCTACTACATTGTTTTATGTTTTATTATAATCTCATCTTAACAGTGATGGTTATGGACGTGGTCTAGTGAGATTGAATGTGTTTTCTTTTGTTTCATTCAGGATCTTGATGCCAGTTCGCTAAGTGAAAACTCTGATTGGTTTGACCACGGTTCTGTTTCAGACCAGTTTAGTGTAGAGTTTGAAGTTGAATCTATTTATTCAGAAGACTATAGCCATAATGAAGAAGGACAGGAGCTCACAGATGAAGATGATGAGGTACTTTAAATTTCCTTCCCTCAGCTCTAAAAAAAAAAAAAAAAAAGAACACTAAATGTTGAGATTCCAACAAGAAGCAACAGTAATTCTTCAGGTGTGCTACATGACAAATGGCATCCACATGTTTGATTCCAACTCACTAGTTGGGGTTGAGATTATTCTTACATAATTAATTCTAGAGGCATTCATTTTGAACTGTTGGACTTTTGACAACACTTCATAGTGAATGGAAACTTTCCTCGTAATGGTTTGCTAAAGAATTCTTGCTTCAGTGAATACATACGTTTCATAGAGGCATGCTTAAATAAAGTTTTAGAAATTTTCTTTAGGAGGCTTGAAGGCAGTGCTATAGGTGTTGTCATCATTTTTGAGAGATCTGGATACCTGGACTGTCACGAGGGAAGCAGGAAAATATATTTTTTTTCCTGTGTTAGTTTTCTTTTACTTAAGAGCTGAATTGGCTCATGGCAAGATCAGGTAAGTACCAAAGGCAGAATCAGACAGGGGCATACATAAGCATGATTCCTGGGAGAGAAGGAATGGGACTGGCTGTAGTGATTTACAGTGAGTTAGAGTGCTGTGGAGAGAAAAGACTGGTTTGCTTTGGAGGAGGAAAGGACTGAGGTGGTCCCTGCTCCCAAGAGCAGTCAGTAGTGACCGTTACAGGAAGCTGGTGGTTGGAAGGAGCCTCTATAGATGACCCTGTCCAATCCTCCTGTTCAGGCAGAGCCACCTAGAGCTGCTTACCCACACGGCTTTTGAAGGCTTCCAAGGAGAAGGCTCCGTAGCCTTTCTGGGCAGCCAGTGTCTGTGTTCAGTCAGTCACCTGTGCTCCAGTTGGTACTCATGGCTGGGCAAAAAAAAACCAAAACAAGCCAAAACAACTTGGTTTAGTCATCTTCATGTCTTCCCTTTAGGTATTTTTGTACATGAATGAGTCTGTCCCCACCCTGGGCCCCTTTTACACCAGGATGAGCTGCCCCAGCTCCATGTCTCTCTTGTACTGGAGCCCAGAGTGGATACAGTACTCCAGGTGTGGCCCTACCAGCAATGAGTAGAACCACTTCTTTAGGAGTGGTTCTTCCTGTCTGGATGCTCTACATTTTTCTTCGTTCCTAATGTGAAAGATTCTTCCTCATCCCCCAACTAGTCATCAAATTTTGTGGAAGTACTTTATAATTGAGAGTATGTGCATCGTTTCTTGTTACTGCATTTTATTAAAAGTAGTCTATCAGAAACCAGATTTTTAGTTGAATACTAAGTGTCAGTTACATCAGTGCTTTTGTATTTTTAATAGGTGTATCAGCTGACTATTTATCAAGATGAAGACAGTGATTCTGATTCATTCAATGAAGATCCAGAGATTTCTCTAGCTGTGAGTAAAATCTTGACTGGCAAAGCATCATCAGTTGGGTGAACTAACAGTAGGTGGAGGCATGTAGATGAATCCAAAACATGGATGTTGTGAAAAATGTTTTTAGTAAGTTTCCTGGTGCATTAAGAAAAACACTAATTTACAGTTTCTGTGTCTTAGAGGGGGGAAATTATTTTGAGCCTAGATCTGCCTTATACAAAACGGAAAAACAAAGAAAGGGGAAAAAAAATCATGAAGTCATAATATATTATAAAAATGCTGTTCCTTTAAGTCATAATGTCTAGTTTTATTGTCCAGCCTGAGAGCCAATCTGTAGCACGGAGATGTGAGTACACACCTGTTTGCAGAACAGTACTGTAAACTGATTAGATGGCTTTTAAGTTTTGTCAGAAGGTTCCTGTAGTGGGGGAGGAAGTTCAGGATTTTGGAGCAAATTGTACAGGCATGAAAAAAATACCTGCTGTAATTTAAAAGCGTCTTCATTTTGTTGCTCTTCATAGTTGAAGTTTGAAGAATGCTGTTTTGAAGAATTACCTGAAATGTTTGTTCTTTAATGGTCTGTAGACTGGGGGACTTAGCTTGCCCTGTGTTTTACAGATAGCAATCTGAAAATGTAGCACTGCTTGTGTGTGGAAGAACACCTGTACTCCGTTTTTAGGGATTAGGCTGTTAAGCTTTTGATGTTGCTGATGCTATTCAGAGCTCAAAGCAGAGAGCGTTTCAGGTGTGCCAAATAAGAAGCTTTTTAATTTTTTCCCCTTCTGCGTATTGATTCTAAGGAGGTGTTTGCCCTTACAAGCAGGGCGTGTCTTTAGTGAGGTGGTGGCTTATTTTTGGAATGGTGTGGAGGAAGCTCTGAGATGCAGTGATGCAACTCCTCTTTAATGGCTGGTGTTTGGTGCTGGACACAGCGACGCCCGGCTGTGTCAGAGTGCCCTCATCTGGCCGTTCTGCACACCAGCAGCTCAGCATCCCAGCTCAGCGTCCCTTCAGTCTCCACCGTTTTCCAGTTGCTGAAACTCATGGGATCAACGGCCATTTTGCCAGAAAGAGGTTTCTCAAATTTTGGTTAAGAAACAGTAAGCCAGTGTTATTACACTTCTATTTTGTAAACCTACTGTAAGAGGGAAGAAAATAGGAAGTCGTATAACAGTGAGGCTGTTTTAATCCAGGACCATAAAGCAGAGTTGGACACTGACTGGAATTCTTACACAAAATTGTTGATAGCTCCAAACCGCTATTATTTTAGCAGCAATGAATTCTTAATGATCTCTGAATACTTCAGTAATGAGCATTCTAAGTGGCTAAAACTGTTTCATCCTTTAATTTACTAAAGGACTACTGGAAGTGCCCTGAATGCAGTGAAATGAATCCTCCGCTTCCACGCCATTGCCACAGATGTTGGGCCCTCCGTGAGGACTGGCTTCCTGATGAGAAGAGCGATAAACTGGTGAAGAGCAAATTAGAAGGCTCTTTCCACCTGGAATCTGACGAAGGTTTTGATGTTCCTGACTGTAAGAAAGTGAAAACGGATGAAGATAAAGAACCAGCTGTGGAGGAGAATGAAGATAAAGCAGTACAGATATCTGAGTCCCAGGAAAGTGAAGATTATTCTCAGCCATCTACATCTAGTAGCGTGTTTTGCAGCAGCCAGGAGGACTTCAAGGAACCTGAGAAGAAAGAAATGAAAGACAAAGAGGAAGGTACAGAGACCAGTCTGCCTGTTAGCAGCATAGAGCCCTGTGTCATATGCCAAAGCAGGCCAAAAAATGGCTGCATAGTACATGGCAAAACAGGACATCTCATGTCATGTTTTACGTGTGCAAGAAAACTGAAGAAGAGGAACAAGCCCTGCCCAGTGTGCAGGCAGCCCATCCAAATGATTGTACTAACTTATTTTGGCTAGGGTGATGGAAAGCAACAAAAGGAACTCATAAACTGGTACAGCAAATAAGAGAGTAAGAAATTATTTTTATATGCTTATTGCAGATGAATATTTTGGGTGTCTTTATGTTTGTTATGAAAAGTCATTGCTGAAGTAAATGCACTGGAGTTGTAAAGTTTAGCCTGATATTTGCTAGTTAATTTAACGTTGAACATTTTATATCTGTCTCAGTAGAAGTAACCAATTCCTGTTGGTCAGTGTTTGACTTTCCAGGTGTTTTACTGTGCATAAAAGTCAGTAACGTCTCTATTATGATATTGACTACAAATATTGCAAGCCCCTGTTCAGCGATGATCAGAAGAGGGACATTTTGAAGAGTTCATTTAAAATCAGTTAAGAAGAAAGAAGATTACATTCCACAATCTGTTGCCTAGCGAAAGCACCAGGCAGAATCAGAACCATCTGAGTAAGTCAATAAAAGAACAAAATAGAGCCTTGTTTCCCTCACTCCCGAAAAATTAAATCGCTTTGAGAAGGAGATTTTTTGGATGCTTGTTGGGAAACCAGGGAAGCTGTGGTAGAAAGTAACATTCAAGGTTTTGGAAATTGAAGAGGGTACGGTGTGTTTTGTTTCTGTAGTGTACTTTGTGAACTTCAGGGCTGTCTGAGTGCTCTGTGAGAAGTCACTGAGCAGTTACAGTCTTACGGTTACCTCTTAAATGTCCTGAGAAAGAGACTTTGGACTCATGGTGTGGATGTGGTGGTCTGTACTGTCCTCGTCATTTTAGCAGAGTGTGAAAGATGTGAACTGGAGAGAAAAATGAGGAACTTAGCTAAAAAGTAAGGCAAAGCACCAACAATAGGGGATGTTTATAGCTTGGTGTTGTTTTTTTTTTCTGCACTTGCTTAAAAATAGTAAGAAAAAAGTCCACCTCCACCTGCAGAGAGAGAGAAGCTCTGTCATTCTGCTGTGCTCAGATTGTTAAGTTCAGCAGCCTTTCTAACTTTTGCCATTGTCTTTTTTTGTGTATCACAAGAATTTTGAAAACCTGCTGCAAAGTTTTTGGCCAGATAAGAGTTTGTCTCAGTTGGATCCGTCCTTCTTTTAGCTCTTGCGTCCTCAGCGTACTTCCACAAAACCCTCGTGAAATGTATCAGTTTCTTTATGAAGAAGTCTGCTAATTGACTTTGGTCTGTGATGCATTCAAAGGAGATAACATGAGTGCATCTCTGTAAGCTGAAGTGTCTAAAAATGTAGTTAGATTTCTCATCTGATCTGATCTTCAGATGAAGAATTCCTGCACAAGTGGCTTCTGTCTCTTCCTGTGGATGACCCTAAGAGGATTTGGGTGTTCTCAGCTTGTTAATCTGACAGGTAGTTAAAGTTCAGCTGTCCTGCAGGGGCCTACAAATAGTCTTGGAGTCAGGAGAGCTCCAAGAATGGAGATGAGATCTAAATGCAGAAGTTGTGCTGTGTTTTACCATCTCACAACCCTCAGAGAAGTGGCTTCCTTACCTTCGTGGTGCCAGTCCAAAACTGCCTCTGTGCACAAAGGCCTGTGGTGTTAAAATTACTTCCACATCAAAAACCTGAAATATTTATTCCACTATAAGTACCTGGAAACCAGGACTGGAAGCACCAGGAATACAGGGAAGTACCTGCGAATTTTCCTAGTTACTTCCTTGTGGGAAATAAAAAGTGTACAGCAGAAACTTGGTAAACACGTGTGACTGCAAAGAAATTCCCAAATTACCTGAGTCAGTGATGTTTGTACAGTTGAGCTGACTGCTGAAAGCTACTGCTGAAGGATAGCAATAGCTCTGAAGCTTCACCGTTTTTCCTTTTAACTAAACAAAACAGAGAACTCAGTTGTGTGTTTCTTCAAAGAAAGAATTGCTTTACGTGCAGATCCTGACTCCATTCATACTGCTTCCTCTTCGTTTCTCTGCATTTGTATTTACTAAATTGAAGCACAGTGAAGCTTACAGAGACTGTTCAGTGCTGCTGCAGGTCAGAACTGATCAGCAGTCCGATTGGTCTGCAGTGTGCAGCTGGCAGAGAATTCCCAACTTGTGTAGTTGGGAGAAGCACTGATGAAATGGGGAGTGTACTTGAGAGACACTGCAATGGACGAATAGTTCATGTCTTTTTCAGTTGGATACCTTCTCTGCAGTCAGTGTGATTGCTGCAGAACCCCAGCTGTGGGAAGCAGCTGCCACTAACCCAGTTCCTGCTGGGACAAATTGTGCTGTTCTGCTCTGGGCATTCTCTTCCAGCTCCCTTGTGTGATCTCCATATTGGGAAAAAAAAAAAAGAAATCAGCTCTTAATAATGCCTGAGTAGTCACAGCAATGATGTTGGTGTTTGCAAGCACTCAGCTTTGGGATTTTCCTTCAGAAACAGTTCCGTCTCATTTTCTATTAAACCTGTGTTGGCAGAAGGTAAAATGGGAGCATACAGCACAGCTGACTTCTCCATTTGTGATCTAAAGTTTTACTTCTTTAGCACATATTCTTTTGTGGAGAGCAGCCGTGGAAACACTCGCTGCTCCACGCAGTACCAAGGAGATTCAGGTAATTCAGGGGCCTGCATCCTTGGCCATATTGCTCTCTCAGAGTAAATTTTGATTTTGAATTCTGTTTTCTGGCTTAATGTTATTTTTAACAGCCGGGAAGGTTGGCTGTTTGTTTGTTCTTGTCTTTTCCTTTCTTTTTTAAAAGCGTGCCTTACAAATAAGGGAGCGGAGTGGTGGGGTATTGGCAACTGTCTCATTTCCCACTGGAGCAGCTGCTGGGGACGCGCACAGTGCAGGGCAGACCAAGACCCAACTGAGAGCAACGTTTGGTCGGATGTGCTGGAACCTTTGGGTTGGTCACCATGCGGTCACCCTGCGCTGCGCTGACTGTGAGCTGTTGGCTGCTCTCCTCTTTGTGGCAGACAGCCTTTGCCCTTCCTCCTGTAAGGGTGCAAAAGTTGGCGACGTTGTAGCATGAAAGTGGACTCTTGTTGTTACTTGGTGAGGTCTTTGAGATCGTTATTTAATATTGTACGCATTGTAATCATTAATTTATTGCAGTTTGTAAATATTCTTGTGCTTATAGTTAGTGTTGTGAGCTTTAATTTATTGGATTGGTCTGTTGGTACCTGTACAGATAAACACACGTGCTTGGTAAGTCACAGCTACAAGAGGGATATTTAAGGAATTGTAGCATTAAAACAGAGATGCAGACTACATTCAGGTGGAGAGATGGAAGACGCATGCCTTTGTTTTCATTTTTCCTTCCCTTAAAACCATCTTGGTGTTGAAACTGTAAAATGCTTACTGAATAGAGATGAAAGCTAATGCGACATGAACACGGGGAAACTGCTTGGGTGGTGGTTTCTGTAGGAATGCTTCTGTCTCCCACTGCAGCCACACACTGCTCTGTTAACATCGGAGGGCAGGTCTGCAAGGTGGCCAGAACTGATCAGTGGGAGGCATCGTATTGAATATCTGTGTTAGGAGTGATTGCCCTCACCCTTATGAAGGTGACCAAGGGAGATGGGGGAACCAACAGAACAGAGGAGGGCCCAGTTCCGGTCACTGTCTCTGAGCTTCAAGTAAGCAGTAATTGGGTACAACTGCTGCAAGAACTCACCATTGTTTTGTGGTGTTGTTTTTTTTTTTTTAATTAAGTGCAAGAAAACCACTTTTGGATTAAAGGCTTCATTCCCTTTAGCCAAGAAAGCTAAGTGTGGAGTGAAATACTCGAAGCAGCTTCTAACAGAAGTCTGTTGCCTTTCTGTTAGAAGTGTGTGGGAATGAAGCAGGTAACTGGGTTGCTGGTGGTAGCGAGTGTTTGTGCTGCAAAGGTTGGTTTTGTAGAGCAGCTCCTATGGAGCACTGTCTGTTTGTGGCACTGAGCAGTGTGATCTCTGCCACGCTGAGGCTCTGGCTGTAGCTTCAGTGAGGAGGCTGATTTACAGAGGGTAAGGATGTTACAAAGGGTAACTGGTGATGTGTTGCATTTATTTCTAACAGCCTGGTACATCGTTGTCACGGAGTTCCAATTCCCATGTGTTTGTTTAGATGTCACTCTGAAATTTCTGTATGGATGGAAGGACTTAAGGCTCTTTTCCCCTACAAGACCAACATGAGGACAAAAAGAAATTCCTCATTCTTAAAGAAAGCACAAACAAGAATAATTTTCAGTAAACTGTGATCATACAGGAGGGAGAGTAGGAAATTATTAGAAGCATGAATAATGAAACAACAAAATGAGGTGAATAAATAAATGAGGATTGGGTTGAAACATACTTTCTCATCTTAACCAGAAGTTGTGTTGTGTTTATCCCAGGCAGAGGAGATGCTTTGCTGTGCAACACAGCCTAAAGGGGAGGGCAGTTGATGCTGTGCTATGTGGCAGTAGAAAAGAGCTTTGAGCACATGCACTTGTAATGACTTGCAGGGTGGCACAGCTCCTGCCTGCCTCCAGCTCTGCTCACTGCCTTTGTTACTCACAGTGCAGGCAGAGGTGCATGGGGGCTCTTGGAATATTTAAGGGTTGCATCTTGCAGTGTTGCTTCCAACTAACGTATGCTTGCTTACCACAGGTGCACTGAAAAAGAGAACGTCTTTCTGTCGCATATATTGTATGTGTAGAAGTTGTTGACACTTTAGGAAGTGTTGTCTCCTCTGTTTCACTAGATGTTGCTTTCAGGGGGCAGTTCTTGTTTTTGAGCTAAATTAATGGCAGTCACCACCCTGATGCCATAACACCTAAAATATCAAATGGCATTTCCCAAAGCGGAGTCTTACTTTGTTGTCTGACTCTGCAGAGCTGAAATCATTATTAAATAGACAGCTGAGTGTGAGATTACAAACTATGCAATTTTGCCACTCCTGTAGGCTGCCCCCATGACTTACTGGGTGTACTTCTGTCGATCATTCAGTGAGATACAGCTCTCCGCTCGTTGCACAGAGTATAGTTACATTGACGAGAAGAATTTCCAACATGTACTACATTGTGTTTCAAGTTTTTCCTTTTCTGGTGAAACTGAACATTTTATCTGTTTAAAAGCTTTAAATAAAGATGTTTATATCCTCCTCAGTGCTCTTTTCGTGTTTCTGATTTGATGTTTTTTAAGTGCTGCTTGATTTTTATGCATCTCTGTAATTGTAGAACAGCAGTGCAGGTTCCTGGGCTGGGTAGTACAGTCTACTCCTGCATCACGTTTTGAGGAGATGGTAGACTTCAGCACACTCCTGTTCCTCGTACCATAAGTGACAAAATCAGAAGCAAGGCTGTGCACTGGTACTGTCCTCTGACTTACAAATGCTCTGCAACTTCTAAAAGTAGACAACCCAAGAGGTATGGCAAACAAGGGCACTGACAGTCTGCTGTCATACATACACCCATGTCAATCTGAATCTGCACTGGGGTTTCTGTAGCAATGTGCACTTACAGCCATATTGCAGTATCTTAATGGGAGAGATAAGAGTGCAGGTTACTTACAGTGGTGTGTTTACAGTGCTGTACTTGCATCAGTGGACAGCTGTGTTCCTGCCAATCTCATTGACTGTACAGGAAAATACAGGCATCTCCAAATAGAATCTCTTGTAACTACTTGAATTGCTTAAGAAAAGGGCAGATAAAGTTTTAAAATAAACACATGAAGTGAGACTAACGAGCCTGATAAACGATGAACAGCTTCAAAGCAGCCTGGAAATTATTTGCAGCTGCTGAAGCAAAAGGAATCTGTGAGTGGTGCACGCAGAGAGCACTGTGCCATGCTGGTAGCACAGCCCTCAGTGCCTGTGCTCAAGGCTTGCTCCTGGCAGAGCTGAACCTTCCAGCTACTGCTGTATGGCATACAGGGGCTGAGGAGCAAGGGAACAGGGCGGTGAAACGTGCTCTTAACTAAACAAACCAAATCACAGCTGATGCTGTTACTGCAACCATTCATACTGAAGCATTTGGAATTATAGTTCGTTCCAGTTTAAAAAAAAAAATTGTTCTACAATTGTAGAAGACTACTTCTGTATGTTTTTCAGAGACTTTAGGCAGAACTGTTGAAACCAGTGTTCCCTCTGAGCTCTGCCTGGTGGCACAGGCTGGCACCAAGCCTTCAGCACACAGCCTTTTGGCACATACCTCCCACTGCTTCCTCTCTGCATCCTTTCTTAGAACGGGTGTTACTGATGTTATTTCAGTCCTGATCAGTCTCATTTGTCTAGACAGGAAAGAGCACAGTTAAAAGTGTCATTCTTCATTTATAGAAGTGGCTTTATTATGAGAAATTAGGATGGATCTAATTGCTTACACGTGTGTGGGCACACAAACTGCTGGTCCAACAGAGCACCACTGGGAAACATTTGCAGCACAATCCCAAACTGTTTTTGAACCTCTGGCAAGTTCTTTAAAGTGTGTCTGTAACACTGCAGCAAACATCCACAGCTATGATCTCCATAGGCTGTACAGTATTTCTTTGAAGTATCATTGTAGAAAAGGGACAGTCTAATTAAAGTATAACATTTGATTGTCAAGGCAGTATTTTACAAAATGCAATAAACGTGATTATAAACCAAATTCTCAGCTTTACAGAAACATTCTCTTGCACACAATCTTTGTTTCAGAAGCCATATTTGTGCAGGAGGCTTTTGCCACGTCACGTAATTCCCGACTTCATTTGAAAATGGAAATTGCAACCATCACTAAAACCAAGATATGTAGAGTTGGTTTCACTGCAGCTGACGAGCGTTCGAGCTCCTGGTACAGAGGGGCTCTGGGGCACGAAGCAGGTCTCGGTTTGACAGAGACCTCTGGGAATGAGAAGTCTTGTTTCAGAGCGCTGAAGTTAGCGGTGTTGTCAGGTATGTCCACTGTCTTCAGCATCGATTTAAACCCTGGTACCGTAGCCTGGGAACGAGCACAAAAGATTTCGTGTTTTAAACACAGAGTTCCACTTTAAACTTGTTTACAGTTTCAGGGTATAGGAAAAATGTTCTAAACGTAAGTTGATCTAAACAAGAGGAAACAACAAAAGCTGAGCTTGGAATGTTAACAGAACACTTTTTTTTTCTTCTCTCCCCACAGTTCCCATGGCTCTGCTAATTTTGCTTTATTTGGGTCAGTGCCTCTCAGTGGATGAACCGACCATCTTGCTTCTTAACGATGTTCTGGGTCAGGGTGTTGCCCCCTGTCGCTGTTGATGGAGATTGTTTGCCTCTGGGGGCTGAGTGAAGGACTGCTGCCATACTCCTTTTGCAGGCTGCAGTGAAGGGTGAAGGGGACAGGAAGTGGAGTGCATGGAGGAGGCTCTCAGGTGACGTTGAAGCCCAAGGAGGAATTTACCAGCTTGATGTTTGAGTGGAGGGAAGTCATTTCCCTGGGAAGTGACAGAGGAGGATTCTCACTGCAAACCAGCTGTGGAGTTTTTTTGGTTTTTTTTTTGGCTCAAAGACCACAGGAGCACCTCAGGCAGTATGGAAGAGGGAATCCTGCAATCACACTTGAGGACAGATCCTGGGCTGGCACCTGCCAGAGACTGCATTGTACAAATGCCCTCTAATGTCTCCTGACACCACCCTCAGGGGAACAGCTGTCACCAATGGCATTGTCAGCCTGCCGCTGCTTGGGGCTATATGGATTCCAGCCTCTGCTGCCTCAGAGCTCTAACACTTCAGGCCAGCCCCAGCACAATCCAGGAACTCAGCTGGCTCCACCATCCAGTCGGTGGAGTGCTATTTCTGGACATCCCAGGGACAGGAAATCTTACCACATCTAAACATCTTCTTACTGCTGACTCAAATTTTAAGATTATTTCAAAAGAAAAATGTGCCAGTGAGTCTTGACAACTCCTGTATTTGACTCAAGCAAGTCCAGCTTACTCAAAACCCTCGCTGTGCTCAAGGATTCAAAGCACAATCAGAATAACTCAAGCAGGCAGCACACTTACGTTGATCACGTACTTCCCAGGCAAAAGGAGAAGAAAGTACTCGCCGTGCTCGTTTGTCCTGTAGGGGCAGATGTGAGGCCTCCCTTTGGCTTCCACGATTGCGTTGGGAATAGGATTCCCATTTTTATCAGTAACCTGACCTTTGACTCCTATGAAAGAGAAGGAGGAAAGATAACAGTGTGTACATGTGACAAGCCGCCCTCTCTGGCAAAGTCGGACTGTTTGCTGCTGGATGTACTTAAAGGCCACTTCAATGATTTCAAGTACATGTAATAATATCACCAGTACTTAAATCTTACTGGAGGAAACTAAAACAAATTCCTTTCTGTTGTCATTAGTAGCTTCCTCTGACTTTAGAAAACAGCACTGTAATCACAGAATCGTTGAATGGAGTGGGTTGAAAAGGACCACCATGATCATCTAGTTCCAACCCCGCTGCTATGTGCAGGGTCGCCAACCAGCAGACCAGGCTGCCCAGAGCCACATCCAGCCTGGCCTTGAATGCCTCCAGGGATGGGGCATCCACAGCCTCCTTGGGCAACCTGTTCCAGTAAGCTTTGCTTCTAAACCTCATTTGCTGAAAGCACCATACATACTTGTTGGATGCATTCTCACAAACCACCCTAAAGTGAGCACCATCAATAAGCAAAACAGTTGGACGTTCATGGCAATGAAATGCGACATCGGCAACAGATTTATGCAAACCCTTTAACTCACTGCAAAATATCTCCAATTCAATAAGCAGATTTTCTCTGTTTCAGCTGTGAAGTGCAGACCCAACTTAAAAAGGCCTTAAAAATACAAAATCCAAACAGCAGAGATCCTTGAAACACTGAGTGCCTGCATGTACCCATTTAGAGACCTTTGGACTGTCCCAGGGCAGCTCCCTGAAAGGCCCATCCCTTCCTCCTGCCCAGTCACACATTTAACCCCAAGCAGCACTGTAGGAGCGCCTGCTGCCCCACACCCAGCACAGCCGTAAGCTGTCCTCTCGTACCAGCCCTGGCCTTGCAGCAGTCATCATTCAGGTCCTTTCCTGAATGCAGGAGCTCCCAAGGTTTGTGCCATAGCCAAGAGCCCCACCACTGGCCCCAGCTGCTGAAACATTCCTACTCTGCCCACCAGCCCAGCCTCAGCCTTATCTCCTGCTCCACTTGGTACCCACCTAGGTGTACTTGCTTTATATATTCAACCAGAGCAACTTTGTTGTCTCTCCAGAATTTCTCCAGCTGCTCTGCTGGAGGATATTTACAGCATGACAGCTCCAGTGTGATTTCAAAACACTGTCCCCAGACGTAGTTGTAATCTTGCATTCCACCTTAAAGGGAAAATAAAGCAAAGTGTTCAACTGCAAAGAAGCACCAAAGGTCAAGCAAGATGAAAAAGGGGAATGAAAAGTGTTGCTAATTGCATCACACCGGTAAGAAAATCAGCACATAAAACAGACAAATTATTCCTCAGTGCCATACCTGTATTTACTGCTTCCTCTGGAAAAGCAGCTTAATAACTCCACAAATACTTGTAGAGTTTCTTGTTTTTTAAAGCACAGTGGTGTCTTGGAAATGATGACATTTAATGTTGAAGAAGGGTAGGTCTTTGACTCAAAAACTCACAAGGCTTTTCAGGCTCTCCCAACCCAACGGAGATGGATTGATTCAGGGGTTGGCATTGAGTCTGCCTCTTTGAGCTGTCCCAGGAGCCCTTTAAGGTGCCAAAGCAGCACTCAGGGCCAGAGTTTACAGGACCCATATTCTATTTGGCCATGTGTAAACAGAAATGAAAAAGATTTATTTCAGTAATCTTTTTTTTTTTTTCCTAAGGGTAATATAAGTGCCAAACATTTGTTTTCTTTCTGAAAGGAGAACAGAGGTTCTCAACTTGGTGCCGGAGCAGCAGGCAGTATATGTGTGTAATATATGCCCTAAGAAAGGATACAGACAAAGCCAGAGCAGAAACTGTCTCATTTCACTCTTGTCACTGCTGATGAGGAGTCTGCTAACCTGTGTCCTCTCAGATAATCCCTGTTGGGGTTGTCTTCCTCATTTCTCACTAGCTACTCCAATCAATCCTTGCAGTCATTGCCCTTATCATCAGGTGGCAGAAGCAAGAAGGAATCTGAGGTAGCTGAAAAAGCAGCATGGACATTCTTACCTTCCAGCTGGTACCAGGAGTACCCATTGGTAATGCCATCTGGGAAGGTCTGTCTGCTGTCACACCCAGTCCCTTTGTACATGCTGGCATGGTTGAAAGAATAGGTTTTTGCCAGGTGAACAAAAACATCATCATCTGGAGACCTGCTGTAACCATTTGATGTGCCAGTAACTGCAGAATGAAGACAGCCATTGTAATTCTCTTTACTGATAAAACATACAGCACCATCTTTTACACAGGATAAGAACTTCACAGATAGTCAAAGCACGCAGTGTCTTTCAATAACCTATTTTGTCCTTGATGTTTACCAAAACCCGCCCATCCCAACTTAAAAGCTGAAAAATACCTTGTAGAAAACCTTAAACATTCTGCATTGGTAGAGCAAAAATTCCTAAAATGAATCAACTGTGGAAGAAAGAACTTGTTCCAGGCTTACCTGAGTTGCCATTATCGAATGTATAACTGGCAACCAGGGCACCCCCATGCAGGTTTGCTGAAAGAACAAATGTTTCATTTTTTATCCAGTTTATCACTGCTTGAGTCTCTGGCTGAATGATATTGTTGTTATTTTCAAAGGCATCGGGAAAATTTCTGTTCAGATCTTCTCCATTCTTATTGTACCTTAGGAAAGAGAGAAGGCACTCCTGTTACCATTTTGCCCATAGGCATCTCAACAGCACCAGCCCAACAGAACTTGAGAACTGGGGCACGCTGGTGCCTTCAGCGAGCAAGTAAGATGGCCATTGAAATGTATCTCCTCAAGCATTCAGAAAATAGATTTCAATATGCTTTCTGCAAGCACTACCCACCTGGAGAACTCAGAATTCTTTCTACCTAGAGCACCATTTCCCTTGCTCCTGGTGTTGCCATGGCCAAAGCTCCAGGAGAACTAGTAGCTCATACATTCCAACTTCATCCCTTTGACATTTCTTCCAATTCTTTACTCTCTCCTCTTCTTCCCCCTCTTCTAGCCAATTAAACTTTTCCTCCCCTTTTTGGTCATTGCAGTTTATGTTAAAAAATGCAGAAGTAGTGCAAGATGCAACTCTGGGTTACATTTTCCCATGTGAGACTTTTTTTTTCCTAGCACAGCACCTATTAAAGCAAGCTATGTTTTTGTAGTTTTCCCTCTTACTAAGTAGATCTGCATTCAGTATGAACTGCAAACACGAAGAAGGGTTACACAGTTCTCCAACTGAAAAAGATCTCTGTGGGTGGACAATTTTTTTTTTTTTAATATAGTACTCTAAAAGTCTAAAGAGGTCACTGCACTTCTATTCACAGCCTGGGTCTCCTGCCCAGAAGGTCAGGTCGTTATATCCTTCTGACTAATTTTCTCTGACCACACCACATACAAACATCTGCGTGACTCACTCTTCCAAAAACTGTCCTGTAACAGTGACTCTTCTGAACAGCAGAGGCCAAACTTAGCCCTAATACATCCACTGGACTATTCTCTCCACTCAGTATGATTCAGCCTCTTTGCTAACTCCAATTATTACCCCACGCCCATTTCCCTTACCCACTCCCACCCACCTAAGCCACCCATACCTTCCTCGTGAGTAATAACAATCGGGCACCACTGTAGCTTCAAAGCCATCGGGGTTCATCGTTGGCATGATGTGAATCCGGGTATTATTGAGTAGCCGGGTAATAGCCGGGTCACGTCCATAGCTGGTCACCAGGTGCTCTATCAAATGGAGTAAGATTTCTCTCCCTACAGTCTGTAAAAGAAGCGTAAGTTTTCTTATGTCTGCTGTAGAAAGAAAAAAAAAACCCAAAACATTCCAAACCCCACCACCTTATACATGAATAGTTGGAGCTTTTTGTATGGTTTCAGTTTTAACTGGATTACACAGGCGTGAAAGAGCCTTCTGGTCAACACTGTTTTGTTCCATGCTCTCCCTCCAATTACATTTAAGGTAATTTAAAAGATTCAAGGAGTCACTAGAAGATTTTCACAAGGGTTTTAAACCTGGATCAACCAGAACTTTTTGTGTGATGAGAAACTGACTGTGTCAGCTACACTGCTTAAATCCTATATAGATAAGGCACAGCCTTATCAAAACCTAAAACTGCAGAGGCTGCTTGTTAGGGATCACGTGGGCCTGGAAACGCAGCACTGCATTATATCAGAGGCTCTGCAGAGTCAGCTCTGTGCCAAAGCCTGAGGGACCCTGGGTCCTGCACACAAGCACTGGTGCTGTGCATCACCCCATGGCAGCAATAGCTGAGGGGGAAGGAAGGAGCCAGATTTTCTCCTTGTTCATCTCCTTTTCTGTGAAGTCAGCTCTAATGCAGGCTTAAGAGAGGCTGATTCCCAGTACGGGAAATAGAGAGACGCCACTTTTGTTGTACATTGTTACAAGGCATTTTATTGTCATAAACACTGGCACTGGGCAAATGGAATGGGTACGTGCAAATCCTTTGGCAAAGATGGAAGAGCCTTTTTGATGTAACCTTTCAAAGGTTAGGTTTCAAAGGGCAGTGGCATTTTTGTTCATTTGAACATTGTTGTTCATTTTTTGTTCATATGAACTTTGATAAGTCACAAAAACTATTGGGGCATCTCCCCCTTTGGTGTGCTCTGGCAGATTTCAGAGAATTGAGACCAACATTGTTCTGTGCCAGCATCCACCAGCACAGCACGTTCGCTGCACCACGCTTTCCGGGAGCGCTTTCTATAGCAACATGACCCATGCCTCAAGGGAGCTGCAGTGTTCCTAATCTCAAACTGGAATGGGAACAAATCAAGACTTGCAACTGGATGTGCTCTGCAGATGGCTTATCTCCACTCCTCTCCAGGAATTGAGTCTGGTAAATTACTGCAAGCTCTTCCAAGCTACAGAGTATCTCAGTATCTTTTTAAAATGAGTCCTGCACCACTAAGACTGAAGTACCACAAATGATTCTTTCCCTCCTCCTAAACTGAGAAACGTGGTGCCACATTACTGAAGGAAACTGATCAACCTCATCTTGCTTGCAAACTGGTACAAGGTAAGGTAAATAAATGAAGGTGAAATCAGAGGAAAGGAAATGTTGTTCACAGCTGTTTGCCGTACTAATATCTTGTTCGGTTTTCACTTCAAGTGGCAAATCCTGCTCCAGCTGTAGGCATGAGTGGGAACACAAACATTATCCAGCAGGAGCTCTGCCTGCAAGAAGACAGGTCGGTACTGCTGCACCACTACTTAGGGTGGGACCAAACTGGGTCTCAGTTATTCAGCAGCTGACATTTATCCCAGGAAGAGGATGGGAGAGCAGCAGTTCCAAACTGCTCTGCTAAGCTGCAGCTCACACCTCTAGAAGCATCACACTAAAGATGAGCAATTCTGCAATGCTGCTTGTATAAGGAAAAATGACTTTTTCCCCACCTTGCTCTGAGTAGATTTGTTCCTAATTTAATTATTACCTGTCAGTTCCAGGTCTTCTGCAAGGCCCCATCCACTAATCTGCTGGGGGAAGCAGCACTAACAAATGCATTGACTGTCCCAGTAGCTAGTGGTTCTTTTTCTGGACTCTACAGCAAGCAGACTTGGATGGGGGGGATAAAGATACTAACTTCCCCTGTTGCTGGCAGCTTACAAATCAGCCACGTGGGAGCCAGACCACTCCACAGGTCTGCTACATTTACTCTGCGAGGTGTTAGAAGGTATGCAACAGAACCTGTCTTGTAGAAGCAGCTCAGCTCCAGTGCTGGGTGATAGACATCTTGGGAAGCAGGCAAGGGAGGGGGGAAGAAAGGAGGGGAGAGATGTCAGCCAGAGCATGGCCCTGGGCACCAGAGATAAAGCAAGCACTCAGAGAAACAAGAACAGCCCTACCACACAGGAAGCTGAACTGCAGGCAAGATTGGGCTGCTCTGTGGAGGGAGTGGGAAAGAGCCCCCTGGTCCTACAGTACTTCTCCTCAATGTCTGGTAAGAAAAGTACTCTCAAGATTAAAAAAAAAAGTAGAGAAGCAGAAAAAGAAAGGGAAAGATGCAGAAAGAGAAGGTGGCTGAAAAAGGATAATGTTCATAAATAATGGCAGTTCAGCAGTGCTTAATGGATGATGTTCATGGTAACTTAGAGTTAAGCCCAGGCTTGTTTACACATAGAGCACTAAACAATCCTATTTTATAGGATCCCTTGCATAGGGATCCTATTGCATATTGCCATACCCAAGTACTGAGTGCCAGAACAATTCAGCTACCACCTGCCACAGAGGGTACTTACTCTGAGCTGTGTGTATTACCACTCTGTTTTGGTAGAACAACAGAAGAGTATTGCTTTGCTCCAGAGTACCTCCAGAACTCCCAGTAGGTTTCTTAACAAAGCACATCTGGAGGTGTTTGAAGGAAGGGGAAGGGAGTCTTAGTTTGAGAAAGTGTAGCTCCAGTTTTGACCAAGCGCTCAGAAAGCACTTAATGCCCAGCCAACATTTACCCTGACAAGTTCAGCTGTACCTGTGCAACCAAGCTACAAGGTTTTTTTTGGTTCTTTTTTGTTGTTGTTGTTGTTTTTGTTTTTTAAACTTAAGGGCTTCAAATAAATCTCGATATGCTGGAGGCAGTCTGCTAACAGTAACATCAAGGACAGATACCTCAACACACCTCTTATCTAATACATAGATGTGGGGAGCAGAGCAAAGATTTCATGTCTTTGGTTTTAACTGCATCATCCTAAGGGCAATGGGCTCTCATCCAGGTGTACTATTTTGCCACAGCTCAGATGAGCCCTTTTCCCCACCTTTAGGGACAGTTAGATTCTTTAGGGACATGTTAAGATTCTCTGCACTTTCAGCTGTCCAGGTTTCTTTGCGTGCCCCAGAGGGAGAGAATCATCAGAAAAGGCTTTCAGTGATCCTCAGGGGAAGTCCTGAAAGCAGAGCCATGTGTGTGCTGGGACATGGATCTGCAGGGTGTGACTGCCCTTCCTGTAAACACGTACCTTAAGCCTACTGACAGTCACTTCTGGCACAGCTGGGTCAGCACCCAGCTCAGGTGCTGAAGCATTTAAAGAAGCCTGAGCTGCAGCTTGTTAAAAGATTAAGGTTAGCTGTGACTGTACCTGTGCCCTAACGCTTCACTCCACCACATCTGGTTTTAAAGCTTTTTTATTATCCAATAATACAGACTTAATGCCAGGGGACTATGGGTGGATAGACACTGCCCATTTTTTAAGATCGAAATTCTTTCCTTAACCATGGCCTGTTTGGTTTTCTTTTCTTTTCTTTTTTTTTTTTCAGTTGATCTATGTTGAAAGAGATCCAATCCATCAGGTAGGACCTGTTTTGGAACAGCACAGCCCTGCCACTCTCCTTGCTCCAGCCCCAACTCCCATACTGACCCACGTAAGGGAGCAGCATTACAGTAGAGAAACCAGCAGCCCTCAGGCTTATCGCTGAGATGCCACACATGTAAGACATTCTTTTTTAACACTTGTACAGCATTAATTATTATGCACAGCTGTGACACACCCCACTGTGTTTGTCCTACTTTAGTAAAATCCACCAGTCTTAAAGGCACTGCTCATACAAACGCCATTTGGCAAACACCCATTTCTTTCTACACCAGTGATCACCATGGAAATACCAAATATGCGGGGACTGCAGTTTGTTTTACAACCGAAGAAAGTAGCAGCACAACACCAGCCTGCTTTTGAACTAGCAGCTGGTGTGAGTTGTTTCTGCCTGGGCAAATTCTGATCTGCACAGCTTTCACCTGGTTGAGACACGGGTCACTGCTTTTCCCGTTGAGGAGGGTGAGAGTTGAGATCAGAAAGGTAACTGAGGGCAGGCAGCAGCCCTATGAGTGTTGAAAGAGATCTCAGCAGTGTCACACTTCCTTGAAGTAAGGTTAAAAAAATAGATCTGGTTGCTGGGAATCCTGAAATGCCACGTGCCTCCAACCTTCTTTATATCGCATCTGCTGATACTGAAAGCAGGCAGAAAATAGCTCCCTATGTATTAAATATAAACATATATAGGATGTCTTGTACAATACATATAAATGACAGCAGAATATGTCCTGAGAATTCATTACAGCAGATTTTATAGTACATGGATGCAACCTTTTGCCCAACATTGTGATAAAAAAATAACGTATTACCATATGGGGATATTTTGGTAGCACAAATGCAGCTCCTATTCACTTTTGGAAATGAAGTCACAACCCTCTACAAAAGACTCACTGTATTTTTTTCCTGTTCTTTTGTTTTTGAAAGCTCCAATTATCACAATAGAGCTACTCTAATCTGGAAACCCTACTGTGGAGATGGTTATGTCCATAACATAGGGTATAGCTGCATGAACTTAAATCATGAGGCAAGCCAGTAATAGAAACACACTTTCCTTCCATGTAGTCTAGTCCAGGCCCACCAGTACACAGTGAAAAAGAGACAAAATAATGCTGCACTAAGTTATTAGAAGGGGATGGTTTCAGAGAAGGATGGTATGAATACTGTCACCCTGGAAAAGGGATGAATTCTGTGATGACTGGTGCTACTGCTTGTTGTAAGCATGCTACTCTAGCTACACATCTATGTAGTACACTACAGAGAACAAGCATTATCACACAGATAGCTTACACTCTGTTTGGATACACTTTGCCCTAGAACCATATGAATGGTTTAGAAAGAGCCTATTAGTGAAATCCTGCAGCTTAGCTTTGCAGACAGCAGTACTGCTGGTCAAAAGTTGCACGTCTCAAAGCATCAGGGGATTTGGCGTTGGTCAGTGTGACAAGGAATGAGTTTTTCCCCAGAGAGGAATGTGCAACTGCATACATAGAATAGAAACTCTTTCAACGAGAGCACAGCCCTGGGACAGGAGAGAGCTGCTGCCTAACTCACAATGAGCTGCAACTGAAAAAAAAAAAACAATGAATAACACAGTAAGTCACATCACTGCTCCCTACAGAGAGGAACAGCTGAAAACCAAACCAGACAAACCTCTAATTTGCTTTGAACTGTTTGAAGTCCCGAATCAGTGCTTTGATTCAAACACAGGGACTACCACTGTAATGAACAGGCCCCAGAGCAGCAGGCAACCTCCCTCATCTTTAATGCAAACTTCATTGACATTTCACAGGCCTACAGGTTTTGTGCAGCCTATTAGTGCATTTTGACTCAAGTCCAGCACAGAAGTCCAGACTCAAGTTCCAAGTGACAGAACGATCGCTAATCATCAGTTTTAGTTTGGCGTGGGCTAAATAAGTACTGCTAAAAATGATGTCCAACTTCATTCAAGCACAGAAACAATGGGAAAAGTCTCCTGTTGCACCTCCAGGGATGTAGGGCAAAAGTTCACTCTGTTTGGCAATGGCTGTCACAAGACAAAATCATTCCGCTTTGGCCAGCCATGTTTTATGGTATATATAAAAAAAACCTTAACTTACTCTAAACATAATCTTCCCAATTCTGAAAAAAGTGCTCCCTTCCTAGTGTTATGTTCTCTCATGGAGCTTCCCTCTTTAGTAGTCCCCCAATTAACCCATGTTTCCCTCCAGCAGCACATGAGAACAGCCTGCACACAGAGTTCAGGCTTCCCAGTGCTTTTAGGAGAAGCCTACTGACTGAATCAAAGGTAAGTGCTGTCTGTATTATTGTGACAGCTTAAAGGGGGAGCATCAGCAATAGAAGAGAACTGAATTTCCTCGCTGTGTACCACTTATGGAAAGCATCACTGAAGCACCAAAGGAATTCAGAGATCAATGAGGCTGTAATCCAGCAATCTGAAGTTATGAAAGTCTGTGGAGCACAAGTTGGAGCTTGTCATACAGTTAATGAAAAACTTATCTGCTTAATCTATTATAGGGGAAGTTGAATCCTTCCCCAGTGACTAGTCTAACAGAATCTTAGATTATGGGAATAAATATTCAAATTCGCCAATGCGGCTCTATATGAGGAATTCATTTCCTGCCATATGAAACACATTTATGGTCAGATAGAAAAAACAAACACCAAGTGAGTATGACGTCCACGCACAAAGAAAGGCAAAGGTTGGGGGCCTGATAAGGAGGATCAGCCTTAATTCTGGAATCTTTCCTAGGTGCGTGGTTGTTCTGATGAACAAGCCAGAACATAGCTCATTAGAGAGTCACATAATACAGCACCTAAAGCTCCAGTGCTGTTAGCTCAAGGAACAACTCTTCTCAGACAAGCTTGTGAACAGCACTTAGATGGTTTCTTCATTTGTTATAAAGTTAACTTCAAAATCTATATCCTAGATAGCAAGCCAGGTTGCCCGCTCTCTAGCAACCCCTAACCATGTAAGCACGTAAACACTGAGTGTCTCCGCAGCCCAAGTTTCTTATGCACATCTCTGTAGGTAGCAAGAGTACCAGGAGTGCCCCATTGTGAATGCTTCAAGAGGAGTAGCTGCAGGAATCTGCCCTTATGTCCAGTTGCAGCAGATTTGAAAGGCAAGCCACTCTGGACAAAATGGCATTCTCCCCTCCAATTCTTTTCCACCAAAACTGGCTCATCTGCAACCACAGTCTTGAAGCTTTCTCCAGCAGCCCATAGGGACTGTCCCACACAGCTGCAATCCCTAAGCAGCCTGCACTCCCCTGCTGAAACACAACAGGTTTCATGAGCTGCAGGCTCTGTTTTGGGCATCCAGTACCACATATCCATTTGAGGCTGTGAATCAGCTTCCTCCCACACGAGAGTTAAATCCCAAAGCAGTCAGACTCCCAGCAGCACTTTGAAAATGACCACTGTTGAACCAGGTAAAATTAGTTGAACTCGGGGAAAATTCTTGGCATGGAATGTCACAAGTGCCTCTAGGCATGCAAGTGCTCAGGCACAGCACTGATAATAGAAATAGCTTGTGATCAGTAATACTTTACACTGGATACACTTCCAAAACCAAGGGAAGTAGATGAGTAGGGAATTCAGTCTAGCGTATGAAGACAGTTTTTGCCACTTCTCTGTTGAATTCTTTACCCTTGAAATTAAAGTCTACATAGAAATATATGGCGTAGTTCAATTTTATCCAAAACATATCTAATAAGAGCAGGGAAAGCTAAAGAATAAGAGAAATAGAAGGCAAGAAAAGATCAGAGAGAAGAGTGAAGCTTGCAGTTTATTTCACATTTACATATTACACCTGGAAATCTCACAATCAGCATTCTTCTTCTTTATCATTAATAAATGATTCTTTCCAAGGCAAATCAAACCTGAAGTTGCTTTGCTTTTTGTATTCACTGTGTTATCTTAGGTAAATGCATTTATTCCTAGCTTAAAGTTAAGAGAATTTGCCTCCCTAAAAACAATTTATTTGGTGGTTCACAAGAATTATTTTTCACTCTTAGGTTGGATTTGAAGAGTTCCATCAGTCATACTTCATGCCCAGCTGGTAACAAGCAGACAATTACATCTGATTCATTGCCAGTAAAATTAAAGCCTTTGGGTTTATTCTTATGGAGAAGACAAAGCTCTTTCTGTTTGAGAGATCTTAAATGTAATGACGAAAGATCTCCCAAAACACTTCTGCCATAGCAAGGTAACTTTTTTCTTGAAATTCTTTGAGGCTATTTCTTGACAAAGAAATATGTGTATACTTTGATAATAAGCAGCACACACCTGAGAGCAGTTCACCTTAAACTTCTAGTAAATATATTTGATATAAGTGACATTGCAAAAGTTGTAACGTACCTCATCCCCATGCATATTAGCAACATACTTGAATTCTGGAATGCCAATCTTATGTTGGGTTGGAAACCTTCCCAGAACAAGAACCCACAGGTCTCTACCTTTAAGAGGGGAAGGGGAAAAGACAATTTTTTAAACAAAGTATAAAATGATACAGAATTTAAAGAACAAAAAAAGTACACAAGAGTTGGTCATCAAGAAGACCAACAAGTTCCCATATTTCATAATTGCACCGACAATCCTATAGTAGTGTTTTCAAGTAGATTTATTTACAGAAATACTTGTTAAATTAGTCATAGGAACCACTGTTCTGTCTTCCAACTGAAAGCGTGCAGTGAATCCTGAAACGTCAAGAACATTTAAACAGTGGTAGGAAATAGGAAATATATATTTTTCTAATCAAATTTTACAGTGAAGATTGTCAATCAAATTAACCAAGCAAATGTAAAGTATTTATATATGATACTTGTCACAAAGAAGAAACTTTTTTCTTTTTCCCCCCCCCCAATTAAAGACAAGGTAGAAAAGCTGAACACATACATGAATTACTGCTCAGGGAAAAAATAAAAAGGAGCTGGCATGCACAGAAACACGTCCCAAAAATTCATAGTGTAGAACTAGCGGCAACAGAAAGAGTGTTAGTTAAGATCATTAAAGACGCACAGGAAGCTGAGCTTTATTTAAGTAATAAAATAAGTAAATATTTTGGAAGTCCCAATTGAAAATGGGAGAGGGCATTTTTGTTGTTGTTATTATTAGTAGCGATATTGTGGCATTTCAGAGCTCTTCTACACAACTGTGCTTCCCTCTATGCTGCTCCCTTAGGTGGGCCAGCACTGCTTTCAGCAGATGGCAGCAAAGAAACCGGACCAGTTCCTTGACAGCAGCAGTCACAGCCTGTGGGCTGCTAATGGCCAGACCTCTCATGCATATTGCCTGTCCCCAGCTCTCACACACTGCTCAGTGGGACCCACGAGCTATCTGGGAGGAGTCCAGCTGTTATTAGCAAGAATACAGAGCATTACTTCCTACACTACTGTGGATCATTAAGTCTGTAGGAAACTCTGGAAGACAACAGTTTCCCAGAGGTAGATCCCATAACACTCGTGGTCCAGCGGCAAGGAGCCAGTTACATGGCTAGAAAGAAAACAGGAATGCTGCACCAATTGTAGTATCTTAGCAAACAGGAGACAAATGTTGAAGAGAACCAGAAGCACTACAAGATGTACTGAAATAACTGTGAGATGATTAAAACTGAAGTCAGTGGTTGCCAAGCTAAGCTCACTTCACAGGTTGAGTCGGAATCTCGGATTAATTAGGATCAGGAAGCAGTGAGACTGCAATGCCAGCAGACAGATTGAACAAGAGTGCTGTCAGCGTTCCCTAGTTGTCTGCAGTCACTCCAAATACGTTGTTATTCAATCCTTGCAAACACAAGGCTGAGAGATGCCACCACTGACATCCACTACAAAGGACAACGTGAGCAAGCAGTCGTCCTCCGGAACATCCAGAAATAAGTTTGCAGTAAGTGAGGAAGCTATTCAGCTTTGTTGTGTGCAGAGCTACTGTTTCATTAATAACAATAATAAAAGTTCAACTTCTGTAAGTCTAGACAAGCAGCAGAGTGGAGAAGCCAGATACTAGCTTTTAAGCACATCTTTCTTCAAAAAGAGAACGGAAGCACCGGCCCCCAGAACCCTGGCCCTTTTCTCCTCCAAAACCCAGAGGTCCCTCCCAACCCCAGCCATTGTGCAATTCTGTGGAAACAAGACAAGTCTTACTGCAGAAGTATGTTTGGAACTAGAAAAAAACAGCAGTACTGAAAGAAAACATGCTGCTTTTATTCATAATCCAGCATGCATGAGAGTCTGAACCTGATTTCCATGTCTTTAACATTATTCTCTCCCTGGTTGCATCCAGAGGTAACCCATAGTGAGCTACCAAGAAAGTCCTTCCCTCTAAGCCATGCTCTCCTTCCTTCTATTGGAAAAATAAAAGAAAATAAACTTAAAAAAAAAACAAAAAACTATATATATTTTTATATATGTATCGGACATTCCTCCCTAGTGTTTGGCTTCTCAGTTGCCATGCAGTCTGCTGCACTGGGAGCTACCTACCTGCTTCTGACTGCAGCCTTTCCACCCCAGCTCAAACCACAGGCTCAAACCTGCAGCCTTACAACATGCAGCTTCCCTGGCCAGGAGTTGGTCAGGTGAAGCAGCAGTGCTAAAAAGCATATCCAGCATCTAAAAGATTATGGTGAAACTGTAAGATTAAGGCAGCAGAAGACCTATACAAGAGATGTGCCCCAGCTCTCTCTTCTAGATGGAGGTGAATACAGTTAAGCTGTAGATCACTTATTTCCTACAGAGGAGGCATACACTTTCTATAAGGTTACAGATCCATCCAACTCCAGGACTGTTATCACAGTGAGCACCAAGCACACAGGCAAGTCTTTGAAATAGCTTAGAGCCAACAGGTTGAGTGTATTATGTGTCAAAAGCCCTCTCAGAGGAAATGAAATATGCGTCAACTAAAAGCATTCGTTTCCTCAAATCGTTTTTCATTTCCCATACGAATACAAAGCAGTGACCTAAAAGGTGAAGCAGTTGAAAGTGGGATCTGAACTTCAAGCCAACCAATATATTAACTATGTTTGGATTACTTTCCTATATCTAATTACGTAGCATATAAAATACCCAACCAGTTACAATAGACAAGCTGTACTGTAGTCCCTAGAAAGGGAGGATCTTCTCACCAATAATCAGACATTGAGATTTGCCTCTGGTTCCTTTCAAACAAAACAAGACCATCAGAGCTATCTCAAATCTGACCAAGGGCAAAGATGACTGACATGCACATCCATTGCATGTAGGCTTTTCAGGGTATCTTACAAGCTAATGTAGAACAGCACCCTATTTTTAGCAGCATTTGCACCGTACCGTAGTTTTAAAGCAACAAAAACCCATCAATTCTACAAGCTATTTCTGTGTCACTTAAGGCTTTCTGCAAATGAAATATATTCTGATTTAAAACAAAGAAAAACAATATATTTTTTAAAAGCCCACATTTCCAGTGCCTTAGAATCACAGAATGGTTAGGGCTGGGAGAGGCCTTAAAGACCATTCAATTCCAGCCCCTGCTGAGAGCAGGGACACCTCCCACATGACCACATTGCTCAAAACCCCATCCAACCTGACCTGGCCTTCTAGGGATGGGGCATCCACAGCTTCTCTGGGAAACTTGTTGCAGCGCCTTGCCACCCTCTGAATAAAGGATTTCCTCCTGACATACCCAAATCTACCCACTTTTAGTTTAAAACTGTTACATCTTGTCCTATCACTGCATTTCCTGACAAAGAGTTCTTTCCCAGCTTTCCTGTAGGCTTCCTGTAAGCATTGAAAGGCTACAATGAGGATTTCCCACAGCCTTCTCTTCTCCAGGCTGAATAAGCCCAGCTCCCCCAGTCTGTCTTCATAAGAGAGGTACTCCAGCCCTCTGATCATCCTCATGGTCCTCATGGGAAGCACATGGAAGAGCTAAGTATAGACTAGCATTAAGTACTGATCTAAATTGGTCTTTCCAGCATGAATGTTTAGACTGTTTACAGTTTGTGTGCATGAGGGCCATCAAAATGATAAACACTCCCATGAACTGAGACATCAATTATTTTCTGGCACTTCCAGCTTGTGAGAAGCATTAAGCTTACCATTAACAATTAAAATAAATTCCTGGGTCTGCTCAGCCTGCAGTACTGGATAGTGTACCTACAAGGGATGATGTAAGATTCTTTCCATATAGCAGTAATTTACTGCATATAAGAAGATCTAGTAGATAAAGTTTCCTTTAATCAGTAAGCCCTAGATAACTCTGTTTTCATAGTCGAACAGCTAAGCCACCTCCCATGCTTTGCATCAACTGAACATACACTGAGAAACCATTCCTCACTGCCAAACCAGAAATTATTTCAGCTAATCACTGAACTATATTGCAAGTAATCAAGACAAACTTGTGTTTGTAATTGCGTTGGAGCAAAGCCCGATTATACAGCTTCTGGTAGGGTGAGCAGATTTATTGATGAGTTTTCTACCTTTGCCACAGCAATATTCATGACACGGTATCAATACTCTAAACAGACCCACAAAAACTGGGAATTAAAACAGAGAATTGAAACCGATGTCCAGATCAAGTGAGAAAGAAACCAGATTATCTGTAGGCCTTGGAGACTGGGTTACACTCCTTGTTTTGCTCTGAAGTTTACTTCTGCTTCTCTTCTCTTTGTTCTTCATGGTTCCATGTATGAAACGGAGTTGTTATTTCAAAGGCAGTTGTGGCTAAGAAGCGAAATGAACTAACTAGACAATATGCTGTCCATACCCACAGACCCAGCCAACCAGCTTAAATGTTTGCATGGAGGTCTACTTTAATTAATGAAAAGTAGTATGCCGACTACAGTTCTCCCAAGCTGACCATATACATGCTACACATCACCTCAGCATGGATCAGCATCACTGCAGATCCTATCCATGAGGCACTCCCTTCCTAAAAAGGCACAAGGCAGGGAGAAGAGAAAGACCAATGCTAATTAGAAGACAAAGTCCAAAACCAGTTCACGCTGGCTCCAAATCTGACTAAAAGCTAATTTGAGTAATGCAGCACTGAACATAGGTCATGCAAAACTTGTTCTGACTTTGACTGGAAAGTTGAATTTTTAGATGTCTAAATCAAAGCCTCAGGTATGAAACTATGTGGATCCATTTCCGTTGCCTATAAAAAAACATGATGCAAGCTTATGAAAAAAGACAATATGATACCAGTCATTATACAAATCAAAGTAAGGACCTCAAGCAATACTCTTGAGATGTTAAATAAGCCACAACAATTTACATGTCTTTCTATTTCATATCCTCTTTCTTAAGCAGAAGTAGTAAGTTTTTCCTCATGTTTGACAAGAAGTAGCAAACCATCAGGGTGGTTTATCCGTAAACATGTGTTTCTAAACTCTGTGGACAGCCATCTTAGTATGTATAGAGCAGTTAAAAAGCATAAATAATTTTGTCGTACTTCTTCAGATTGCTATGCACTACTGGTATTTCAGCAA